CCCCCACACACACACACACACTCACACATCGTCTCTGTTAATTGATTCCCCTTCTCTCCTAACCCAGATGGATATATTTTTCTGTCAATTCTTTCCAGTTGTTCTAGTCTATGATGTGTGTGTAAGCATACATTTTCTGACAACTGACTCTACTGATGCGGTACATCATTCCTAGACATTGAGCACTGCAATACTGAAGTCTTGATTATTCTTTTCTCTCGTTAAATATGTTATTAAGATGATTGAAAAAAAAAGATAAATTCTCCTATTTTCAAGAAACCACCACATCTGCTAATTAGGGACTGTAATTAGATAAGTACACACAAGTGTATATATACATTTATATTTACAGGTTTATTAGACTAGTTACCTTATATATACATGTTGCTAAGTAATTTTGCTATGCAGAAGGACTTCTCCATTTATAAAAAATCATGTTCGTATCATGGCTAACAAATTGTTTAACGCACTGATTTTAGAATTACACAGGACAACATTAGAATCTGCAATGCTCTTATTTCTTTAATCGTACACATGTGTTTCTTCGTGTGTATTTTCAAAATATTGTAGAATAGGTTTAAATGGTCCCCGTGCAATACATTTTCAACAATCATATGTCCTGGATTTTACACGTTCGAAATAGTTTTATATCATACAAATTTGTTTAAAAACGAATCTAATGACAAATATCTTAATTGTATGTTTTATTCAATATTTGTATTTTCCTATGTTCAGTTATATCGCATCCAGTCATGCACAAAGACATCCAATAACATGTTCCTACCTTGTCAGTGACATCTAATATGTCTGATGTGTCTGTTTAATTTCATTTGATTTATTCTATCAGATCCAGTGTTCATGTCTTGATCACCTCTGTAGAACGACATAGCACCAGGGATGTTAGACATGTTTAAAATTACATATTTTCCAGAATGAAAACGTGAATGTGTGAGAAAGGAACTTGGTATATATCCTAACAATGTTACATGTGAGACGGTCTTCCATTACTTTGTGATTCATTATTCCTTGCATTCCTTTATTTACGTCAAATATTGATGATATCGATAATAAAAAATCACAATAACTTAAAATGCATGTTGTTATTTGTACACATATAAACAAAAGCAGATTTATGATATTTTGGAAATCTGACTCCGACTTGCTCTTGAAGTTACCATTTAATCTCAACACAATATATTAGAAAAGATTATCAGTATTGGTCACCATGACTCAAAACCTTATGGTACTATAAAAATGGCTGCTTTTTAACAAATTTGATCTCTGTGATTATAAGAAGAAACTTTATAGTACTCTATCACATGTATCTCTTGACCAAATATAATGAACCTGTTCCTTATAGAATTAAAAAGGATTTTTTAAAGAGAATTATCCATTAAAGTCCATGTCGACTTTTGACCTAACACATACAAGGAGAAATGTACTTCTAATCAAAATAGCATAATCACGTATCATAGCTCAAGACCTTCCGTTAACAAGATAGAAAAAAATGTTGTTTGTTTATTTATTTATTTGAACTTTTAAACATATTCAAGTGGGTAAAGATTATTTTATTTGAGAAACCGATCTAACGCTCAATCCAATGGCCCTACTGTATAAATACCAATGGTCGTTGTTTTTTTCAGCTCTTAAGAATAATGTTATCAAGGAAAACCTGGACGGACACCATGTGATAAGCACATTTGCACTTCAATCAAGCTATTTTTTCTTTTTAAAAAATTCCGTTTTAGATATATAAGACAAGCAAATTTTTTTTAATTTTTTTACAAATAACAAAAATAAATGAACACAGTTTCTACTTATATTGCTCGCAGTAACTGAACCATTGATAGCTCTTCAGGACAAGTACAATGTCAAGTTTCAATAGTGACACTTAGGCAATGCACTGAAATATAGGGTACAAACCACAACACGTACGGGTATTGACAGAATGTTTATTATTCCTGACGTCATGTAGATAAATCTTATGTATTCCTCATGTCCTATCCTGGGAAGAAAATTAGCAAGATGGATTAACAGCTGAATATTTCCGTGGAAGAAAAGGTGCGAAGAAGTGTATCAGAAGGAAAGTATGGTGACCTTGAAAACGAAATGCGAGAATAAAGCGAGTAGGTCATATCTATGGAGATGTCTCACAGTCGACACGGTGGAGTAATAAAATTGTTCACTCCTTAGGAGGAAGATACGGGAATATCAGCCCCAGGGAAAATATTCTTTAGTCTCCAATCATGACGTTTGTCGGGTGTTTTACAATGTATTTCCCTGAGGTAAAGGTCGTCCCATCTCACTCCAAGTGAGTGAATATTCGTTTTCTCTTACTCTGTAGAGGTTGTCATATAAAACAATATTGACGTTACTATGTAACTATGCATTGTTGAAGTGACTCCATGCAATTGTAATGACTTCGGAATCTCTTCGTCTCAGCCTGATACTAGACAATGATTTCTCACATCTGGACAAGTGTGTGTACGCCTGTTCAGTGGAAAAGACAGTTTGCTGCAATGGACATCAAGTGGGGGGAGATAAAGGCAACTCAATAACAGCAAAAGGCATCCAACAGGCTGTAATGGAAATAAGACGGCAGTATTAGCTATGAACAGGGGTCATAATTTGCATTTAGGCTGGTCTTTGTCGACTTAAAAAGTTACAAGATAGGACTCGAAACGTACGGCCAGTAGGAGTTTGTCATAGCTGACAACGTCTGTGAATTCAGCAACAGATAAAAATTATGAAAATATAATATGTTTTATTTTTATATATAAGTTACTATTGCCTTAATATACAACGACACATCGACATTCAGATCTCAAAAGGAGACAGAACAAGATAAACAGGAACTCAGATCTAACTAACACATTGTTCATGTCGGTGTACAGTTGCCCTTTTTGGTCTCAATTTGTGCAGATGAATGTTATGTTTTTGTGCAGGTTTACTAAAACAAGAGGCCTATGGGCCTTAACGGTCACTTGATATGTTTATACAGAGAGTTGATTTTGTTTTTAATACGAACAGAAATATTATTCAGTGACAAAAAACAATAAAACCACCTTATTCAATATCTAGCATACAGATTTAAGACTAAAAAGTATTTGAAACTAGCACCTCTGATTCTAAACAAGGAAAATGAAGAAATTTTAGCACACTGACTCCTTTGGGCCCCACCCTACAGCCCTTGGGGGTAGGGCTGGCTCATAATTTTCAAAGTATCAAACTGACAACTCAGGGTTATAATTCCAATCAAGTTATTAACATGTAATATTCAAAGTATCATTTTCCATTATAAACCATAATAACTCCTCCCCCCCCTCCTTCCCCAGGGGGTAAACGTGATACCCTAGGGTCATAAACATTAAGACCCTTTCATCTATGAAGAGTATTTGATTCTACCATATCTGGGTCTTGAGAAGAAGATTTTTGAGATTTCACTCAATTCGACCCTTTTTGGCCCCTCCCATCAGCCCCGGGGGGTCAGTCAGGGCTCATATGTGCATACCATCAAACTGCTACCCAATACTGATAATGCTAACCTAAATTGAATTACCTCCAATGGCAATTAAACAAATGTTGGTCCAAAATGTGATTTCCCTATATAAACTATAGNGTAAAGCACCTTAAGACCCTTTCATCTATGAAGAGTATTTGATTCTACCATATCTGGGTCTTGAGAAGAAGATTTTTGAAATTTTAGTCAATTTGATCCTTTTTGGCCCCGTCCCTCAGGCCCCTGGGGGCCGGGGACCAAACCGGCAACTGTTTATGTTGACCTTTTGCCATGGAAGATTTCTGCAAAATTTCATTGAAATTGGTTCAGGGGTTTTGGAGAAGAAGTCGAAAATGTAAATTGTTTACGGACGCACGACGGACGACGGACGACGACGGACAAAAGGCGATCGCAATAGGTCACTTGAGACTTTGTCTCAGGTGACCTAAAAAAACACTGACCAATGTTAACAAAGGACTTGTTTTATTTAGCTTTTATGAAACAAATACACAATGGTCTTCTGTAACAACAGTTTATACATGTATAATTAAAATCAAATTATATTTCCATACTTTAAACGTAATTAACACATCGTTAATATAAATGGCACTGACGACCCCAGATTTACGTGAAATTCGTATAGGGTTGGGATGGAGAATTCTGGGCATATACAGATTTAAGGTTCGATGAACTATTTCTTATGAAAACATCAGCTATAATGCCTTGTTGACTATGTTAAT